TATTACAGTCACTTCTTTCTAAATCCAACGTTGTCATTTTCCGATTTAAGTCGCATTTATCACCAAAGTTCAGCTCCACCCTTCTTCCTGGTTGTATGCCAAATTCTTCACCAAACGTTTTCAGCCGCTCAAGTTGGCGTTGATTTGACTTCCGGTTGAAGAAAAAGCCCCGAAAGATTTAATAATTTTATATTGAAATATTACAATTATTTACTATAGGAAATACTTCATATGTACACTTCAGGTGCGTATTAAAAATAATAATAATAAAATTAACTTGAAAAAAAAAATCCAAATCCAGTAAATATAAATATTTAGCATTTTATTTTGAAACAAGCTTGACCGGAAGTTAGCCTGTCCCGAAAGCTGCAGTAACGTGACAAACCACAACCATTTCATATTAGTATTTTAGGACGTTTTAGCCCCAAGTCTTAAAAATAACAAACCCAAAACAAATCAGAATCTCAGTATTTCAAAAAAAAAAAAATCTCAAGTTGGTCAGTTGACATCTATACCGGGTGTGTGCGTCACTTTGACGGTCCCGGTGAACAAAACAAGCGCTTCCAAATAAAATAAAATAAAATAAAAAATAAAAATAAAAATCTCTACTTCCCACAAAGAAGATCCTCAACAAATTCAAGATTTATGACCTCTCCACTTGATAACCTCTATGTGTTCATATTACCCCTGGCACTTTGTACTTTTGATGTTAATTTCTGGTTGATAACCAGATGATTTGTGTGTTTGGTAATTAAAAAAAAACTCTACTTCCGGTATTTTTTAGCGATTTTCTGTCTTTTGTGTTTAATTGTTACGATTCGTGACTATGACATAATTTTCTGATGAAAAACGATTATTAATTACTCTCATTGGATGTTTCATCTTTGTTTACTTTTATTGCGACTACCGGAAGTGGCTATGTATTTGGGGCGGGGCTGCCAGAATGTACGCATGCGCATTGGCATCGCTGTGAACGCAAAACAAAATTTAAAGGTGAATAATTCATACTTTCCCTCTATGAGGCTCTATATTGTTCTAATAAAGGTGATGTTTACATTTAATTAAAAAAAACAATAGTAATAACAAACAAAGCGCTTCCGAATCTGTACTTCCTTTTTGTCAAAATAAAAGCCTAACCGAGGCCCTGCCTCGGTTAGGCTTTTATTTTGACAAAAAGGAAGTACAGATTCGGAAGCGTTTATTTGTTATTATTATTATTGTTTTTTAATGTATTTATGTATTTAGGGCTAGCTTAATAGCTAGCTAGTTACATAGCCACGGGACTCAGGCTTTTATTTTGACAAAAAGGAAGTACAGATTCGGAAGTGTTTATTTGTTATTATTATTGTTTTTTAAAATGTATTTATGTATTTAGGGCTAGCTTAATAGCTAGCTAGCTACCTAGCCACGGGACTCGGAAGGAACGTCAGGTCACGTGACCGCCCTCGGGCTCCTCTGAAATGTAAAACTACAGACCGGAGTCTGTTTTCCACTCAATCCGTGCCGCCGTTTCGCTCGCTCCGCCGCTGGTTCTGATGTGGCAACGATACAAAAACCAGAGTTCTGCCGTCAGCTCGTCCGGATAACAACAGGCTGCGTGTGAGAAGAGGAGCGAGGCCAAGCAGCGAGGTAAGCTGGGGGCCGGGGCAGAAAAATAAAGGTTGGCATCGGTCGGAACCCGCAGCTAACATTTGCTAGCTCACTAGCTTAATTTAATTTCCCGTATCTAACAGGAATATTTTATTTTAGCTACATTTGTCTTCCTGTTTTGTCTACGGCTTCGTGGTACAGATAACAGCCTTATTTTAGCCCAGCATCACGGATCACGACCTGGTCCAAACCATCCCAGACATTTAGTCCCGGTTTCATGTCCACTTTGAGCCTGATTAGCTCATGTTTTATTAGTTAATGTTGATGTGGTTACTGCAGCAGTGTGTGTTTGTTGTCATGAGAGGAGAAAACTGGATTTAAGAAGTTAAACGGAACCAGGACCAACAGGTTTGGGTTCCTCACCTGCATTTAGAGCTGATATGTCAATTAAATATAACATTAATTAAAAGCTGCAGTGAGTGTTTGACATTTAACAGGAATAGTGTGATCATTTCATGTATTTAATCACAAACATAATGATAAAGCTGCMCTCATATGCAAAATCAACAGACAAACAGATGTAAACGTTTGAGCTGCAGGGTTTAACTTTACACAAGTAAATAACTGTTTTTAATCATTTCATTAAGATACTGTAAATCAGGGATGTCCAAACATTTTATCACATGGGCCAAAATCATAAAGTCAGGACTTGAGGGACAAAAATATTTTCCTTTACCTGCTCAACAATAAACTAAGTAGAACTGCCACAAATGATTATTTTCATAATCGATTAATCACTGATTATTTATTCGATTAGTCGACTAATCGGATCATACATTAATTGAATATAAAACATAGAGCTTATCACGTCAGAAT